AAAGGAGTCGCGGCATTCGATTCTCATGCGAATAGGTCGCAAAAAGGGCTTCGGTTTTGCTCCTCCCGAATTTTTCTCTCGGCGGGAAGCCCTGCCGCTTCTCGCCATTCTCGCCGACACGGCGTGCGACCTGGCACACCGTGCACATTGCTGCCTGGCATGCCGCCGCCATGTGCTCGCGCCGCGCCGATCGCAGCGCGCGATCGGCGCGAACCGCGGCTCGGTCTCGGACGAACGCCGGTTCGCGTTGGCCGAGTGTCCGAATTGAGCGCTCGGAACGAGGCTCGGACGGGCATGGTTGACGCTGCGCCCTGGCCTGTTGGCGGCGCCTCCTCGCCGCGATTTCCGCGTCTGATTTTAGACGGGGAGACCGTTGCTCCGAAATACACGTAGCGAGAGGATGGCGCTTAGTTGTTGGAAGGTGATTCGGAAGCAGGTTCGATTGTTTCATTAGACTTTCTCTTTGCAGCTGAACTTCTGTATCCATTATTCCTATTGTTCTCTTCGTTGAGCCTGATTACTTGTTTCATCTTCAGTGTGAGAAATGTGTGAGAACGGAACGCTGTCACGTGAAGCGGACGCAAGATCTCTGCTGCCCTTCCTAAGCGAGCTTGAGGCGACTGAAAAGCAGTCTGTGTTCTGCAGATTATTTTCTCGAACGTTCATTGAAGTATTGATGCTGAGTTATGTATAACATTGTTTTTGTATAATATTATATTAGCATGAATTAGCATTAACATACATTAATCGAGATTAATCATTCTCTGTGTTGTAGACAGGGTCGTGAGAAAAGAAAGAGAGCTAATCGCTAGATTTGCTAGATCAGGACTGGAGGACAGATGCAAATCGTTCCACGAATTTCCTTCGTCATTACTTCCTTGTCGCTTCATTATTACGACTCCGTTGTATCGAACTGTATTTCTGCGAATCCAGCCATGCACGAGCAATCGTCATGCGCAAAAAAAAAAAATTCGCCATCTTCTAGTCTCTAGAGAGTTTCTAGATGATTCTATTCGCGACGTAGATGGCGCGACCGGTCTCCCCATTCGACACCGCTCGAATGTTTGTTGATGTTTCTTCCATCGGGATCAATTAACTTCAACCGATAAATCGTTCGTTTCGATTAAAATTCTAGGTACATAAACATTTGTAAGATAAAACTCAATTGTTAGACATCGCAATTCTCAGGAAGAGAGAGAGGGGGAGAAAGAGAGAGAGACGACACTACGGTTAAATCAAGACTGAAACAGGCTCTGGAAATCCCTTTTCTGCTCCTTTATGTTTTTTTTTTTTTTTAAACATTCCATAGTCGGAATTTTTCAGAATGGGCTTTAAAGCCCGCGAAAGACGGGCGCTTAAAGTCGCGACACTCGGTCTTAATAAATGATCATAATGAAAATTTTGTTATTTTTTGATTCACATTACAAAAGACGTGAATGTGAAAAAATAACGTGTCAGCGAAGCTACGTTGTGATGTCTGTTTGTAGTACTACATACAATATCGGAGCATAGGTGAAATTATTTAGTTGTTTTCAATTTCTCGCTGATACCTATTTAAATTATTAATTACATAAAACATTCATCACATATAAACGCAAGCACAATACTTTTAAAGTACCCCAGATGAGGAAATCACACAATATTCATCAAATACCCATTTTTTATCTAATAATTTCTAGCTATAGATATACTAATACATCCTAATCTCGGCGATAACAATTGCCAATAACTGGCAAACGCAGCATTTGATGATATCGTATTTCAAGGTTTGTGGAATATAAATGAATATTAAACAAGATAAGATATTATAATTATAATATCTTGTATATGTAATCTTTATTATATATTATATATGTATTGATATATATATATATATATATAAAATATATGTAATAAAGAGAAATTGTTATCTCGAAAACAGTTCGTGTCAAGTGCTGTTCTTATTTTACGAATATTTTTTTTCTTTTCGTTCTTTTTCGGACGCTTTCTTTCTATCCCTTTTCTCTCTTCTTTCAACAGAAATTTCTAAATGACCGCAATTGATCACAGAAGATTTGTGACTAATCGCCAAACTAGTAATCTGCGTTCGCGTCCTTTCTTTATCACATCTACTTTTATTTTCCTTCTTTGAAACACTTATTTTTTAACGTCTTTTCAATTTAATGATTTATCATCGAACCGTATCCATACGATTCGGCGATATCTACGTTAGTCATCTTGGTATATGATGTCAGAAATGGGGAAATCACACACAAATGACTTACAACTGACTATAAAAAGATAGTTAACGAAATCGCTTTAGCTTGATAAAGTAATCTCGACGCAAAAAGACAAATTGGTATTTGAAAACGATACATAGTATTACAATTCTGTCAAGCTGATAACGGAATTGTAACGTTCCAATATATCTTTGCTTGCCGAACTCTCTTCCAGTTTTATTTTAAAAAAAAGTCTATCTGAAAATTTATGTTGTAATTATTCATGTAAATGTTTCTCTTTTTTTGAAAGTTAATCTAAGATAGTTGTCGTAAAAATTTACTGATATTTAAAAAAAATTGCACTGCTGTTCCTTTGTTCCTTTGTTTTTCAAATCTTGTAATTAATTTTAAAGACTTTAACATAATCGTAATTCCTGTTTTTTTTAAGCACGTTTTTATTTAAAAAATAAATTATTTTTTTTAAATTTGTTCGTATGTTACTAATTACCTCTACGGTTAACGACTTGTTTTTCCTCTCTACATCACGGCTCTAATTATATCAAAGATAAAGAAAGAAAGTTCACACGAGTCACGTGAGCAATTTGGGTGAGCTAATCTTAGATTAGCGATTCGCTATTTTTCTTAGATTATGTTATAATACGGACTAAAAATAAACTGAAATACAGAATAAAAATTATTATTCCTTTATATAATACATCTAATTTTCTCTAATTTTTGTTTACATTTTTGTATAATATATATACATATATATATAGTCCTTCTTAAGATTTTAATTATATTTTATTTCATGCTTAGACACTCTTCTAATTTTTTTATTTAATAATTTACTTGTATCAATATATTTATATATGTTTTTTATGTTGTTTTTCAGATAAAATGTGTGATCAAATAAGCGACGCCATTTTGGATGCACACCTGAAACAAGATCCCGACGCTAAAGTAGCATGCGGTAAGTTTCGCCAAGACAGTGCCGATTTCTTCAAGCACTTGAACATGTATTATGGTATCTATTTATAAATTAGTTTGCTCGGCCGTGAACTAGTTTTAGGCCGGAACTTCTGCATCCATTGCAATTCACAATATATTGATGAAATCATACGACATCTTTGTTTTGAAAGAAGATCTTGATCAAAGATCTAAGAAAAAGAAGTTCATGGATGATTATTCGATGATGTATTTCACGTATTTGCTACGCTTGAGTGCTATGATGATCAAAACCTAAACTGAGAATAATCCATCAAAATAATTTTTTTACGATACTTTAATAATTCAAAAAATTAATGTATAATTAGAAAGAAAAGAAAATTTTTCTAAATATATTATAGCTGCCACAACACTTTATATAACAATTTTTTAAATGTAATCACTATTCTGTATTATATACTTATATAATTTTCTCATAATGTACATTCATCATATACTATTTATGCAAGAAGCTATATTTTAATTATTGAACTTTTTTACTTACTATAGAAACCGTAACAAAGACTGGGATGATACTACTGTGCGGGGAGATTACATCAAAGGCTGTAGTGGATTATCAGAAGATCGTTCGAGACACAGTGAAACACATCGGCTACGACGACTCTTCAAAAGGTACAGCAACTTGGCCGAGACGACACTCGCATTATATCTTATTTTTTAATGATGCACGTCTGTCACTTTCCTCGATTGTCTCTGACACTTTGTTGGATGTTAATTGTATGTTTGCGCGCGCGAGAAAAAAAAATTCAAAATCTTTACACTCCCGGCGAAACGACAAGTCATTACTCATGTAACACATGCATGCTCTGTGGCTGAATAGATAGCCAGCTCCCTCGTCCTCATAAAATCCGCCTCATACGGTTCTCCCTCATCGAATCGTTATACGACAACACGATCGAACCACGGCACAAAAGATTCCAGCATCAAACATCATTTGTGATTTGTATTTTTTTTTACTGTATTTTTTTATACTATAATATTAACGTTAAGTGCATACATTTTGAGATGTTTTACGTGGATGACTCCATGACTCGATCGATCGGATAATCGGTATTCTGCTCATTACCTTTTCGGAAAGAAAGGATCATACAAAAAAAAAGATCATACAAAGAGATGAGTAAAGACTGTGTAACGTAAGCATATCGTGGCAGGATTCGATTGGCGTACGTTGAACCTTTTGGTGGCGATCGAACAACAATCCCCAAATATCGCGGATGGTGTCCATACGGACAGGCAAGAGACGGACGTGGGTGCAGGTGACCAGGTACATAACCCATTCTCAGCCCGTGCCACAGAACAGCCAAAAAAAAAAATAATAATTTAATGTCAACGATCTCTACCCCCTGCGAACGTTGCTTCTTGCTGTCCCTCCCCCCTTCCCACCGCCCTCCACGAAACTTTATCAAACGACGTTTATCAAATCTGTTTTGCTATTCTGTGTGTCACAAGCGTGTGTTACATCTTGCGTGTGTCTCTGCGTGCGTGTATACGCGCAGGTGAGAATGCAAGCACCTGTGCGAGTATCCAAGCGCCATCGTTGTAAGATAATAACGTATAACGTATTTCTTGGAAAAATAAATTCCCTCGCAAAACACCGCGCCGATCGTGCAGGAAATTTCTAATTTGGCGGAGATATCTCGGGGGGAGGGGGGTGGATTTACGAAGCACTGGAATGTGATTCCAACAAAGTGCCGATATTAGTTATCATGTTTATAGAAAGTGAGGCTCCGTGTACTATGTTCGGACACACGCATACATGTGGAAATTCATTTTATTACGTATAAACAATGTATTCGTTGTCTAATCTATAAAGAAAGCTGTAACCATAAATATAATGTACCAGACAGAAGAATTTCAAAGAATCGATATCTCGCCGATATTTTGAGAAGTGTTCGAACTCGTACATGCAGCCGTCAGTATTAGTTTTTAATCAAGCCAGAATTACCTATTAGCGTCAGTGCGGTCTGATAATGCGGGCCCGATGCGGACCGAAGGGGCGGAATCACGTGTGGAGGAGGAGCGCCGACGCGTGAAACAGCAGTGAATATCCTTGTCTCACCACGCTGATGATTTCTGCAGGTTTTGACTACAAGCTGTGCAACGTTCTGTTGGCGCTCGACGCTCAGTCTCCAAATATCGCGGCAGGCGTTCACGAAAACCGTAGCGACGAGGAAGTGGGAGCAGGAGATCAGGTCAATTAGCATTGCCATCGTTGAATTTATTCTTTCTTCTCTTTGTCTTTTGTTTTCTTCTCTTTTTTTTTTTTACCTCCCACGCTGCACATCTTATCAGTAGCTGTACAAGTAACATTTGTCACTACTTTTTTACTTCACTTTGTACGCCCACTAGCCTTTTTCTTTATTTCTTCGCTGTAGAGGTGGAAGTGGTATGTGACATATTAAGTGTCCTTCACACATATCTGCTGCATATTCATATCACGGTAGTTTGAATGCGCTACTGCAAGGACCACTTACTCTTTTGTTAATTCTGTAGCGGGATCTGGCATACAGGAAGTGCGGAATTGAATGAATGTGTAGGAGATAGAGTGCAAGAAAGTTTATGTATTTGGAAGCTTGTGTTTCACACTGCTGTAGCTCAATAACATCTGTAGAATAATTTGGTATGTTAGTGTATATTATATTTATCCTAACCCGTAGTTCGAAATGTAATTCATTGTTGAGTAATTGACACCAAATAAGACTGGTCACTGACTAAAATCCATAATCGAATTTATTAAGTAGCGTTATTTAATTAAACTAGTTGGTTGTGTAATTAATGTTGTAAATAGGGGTTGTAAATTAGGTTTTTTTTTATTATTAATGAATACCTGTATCCTTTCTATCATATTCATATATTCTGTTCTGTGTGGCACCCTTTATTGCATATTAGTTTTACTGCTTCATATTCTTCACAGTTTCTGTATACTATCACATGTATACTGTGCAATAATTTACTTTTTACAAAAGCTTTTCTATTTTTAATTAAGCTTTCTTTTATTTCCTTCAAGAACACGTTTTTTTTTATATTCTAACGACACGTAATTTCAAATCACACACACACACATGTATATGTTATTTGAAATTATGTACACAAGATTTGTTTGGTGCGTGAAGCTTACCTCTCATAAATTTTAGTTGGAATAACTGAAATTCTTCCATTAGGGTCTAATGTTCGGGTACGCAACTGATGAAACTGATGAATGTATGCCACTGACGGTCGTACTGGCGCATAAATTGAATCAGAAAATCGCCGAGCTAAGACGAAGCGGCGAACTGTGGTGGGCTCGTCCAGATTCAAAAACACAGGTTCGTGTTCCATACATTAGTATATACTTTTCGTTTATCTGTGCAAAGTGCAGAGTTTAAGTTCGATAAGTTAAAGCAAGGCGGAAGAGTGGTCGATATCGGGATTTAAGAAATTTGTAGGTCGGAATATTCGTCTGGAAATCGAAAGATTCCCAATCTAATCGTTCCCGACTTACTTTTCACGCTCAAAGATCTAGAGAAAGAAGTTCACGGACATGGATGATTATTCGATGATGTATTTCATGTATTTGCTACTCTTGATCGCCATGATGTTAAAAACTTAAACTGAGAATAATCCGTCAAATATAATTTTTTTTGCAATACTTTAACAATTCAAAAAAATTAATGTATAATTAACACGTGTATGTAATTTTGTGTATGCGATAGGTAACCTGTGAATACATCATGGACCATGGAGCCTGCGTACCTATAAGAGTCCATACTGTTGTGGTGTCACTGCAACATAGCGAAAAAATCGGTCTAGATGAGTTACGTAAGGCGGTCATGGAGAAAGTCATCAAAGAAGTGATCCCAGCGAGATATCTGGACGAAAGAACAGTCTTCCACGTTAATCCTTGCGGGCTTTTTATTATTGGTGGGCCACAGGTACACTAAAGCCTCAAAACTATTGCTTAGTCCTCTCTATTGCTAAGTATTGACATAATTAAGAAATTGATACGTGACATAATTAGTGCAAATGCTAATCGACCTTGAGGAAAAATATGCATTGTATTTGGTGATTCTGATGTGAGTCTTATTGAAAATTCCAGAGCGACGCTGGTCTCACCGGACGGAAGATCATTGTAGATACGTACGGTGGTTGGGGGGCGCATGGTGGTGGCGCGTTTTCCGGTAAAGATTTTACGAAGGTGGACAGATCGGCTGCGTATGCTGCAAGATGGGTCGCCAAGTCCTTGGTGAAAGCTGGTCTTTGCAGACGCTGTCTCGTACAGGTAAAATTTACTAGGCACCTAGATATTCTTGTTGAAATAAACGAAGCAATTTTCGAGAAGTGCTTTCTATATCTATAGAAATAACGTTTTGTATAATGTGAAATTCCATATCTTCGTATTGTAAACAAAATTGTAAAAAAATTTGCGCTTGTTTGTGTTAGGTCTCATATGCCATTGGAGTGGCGGAACCATTGTCCATCACAGTTTTCGATTATGGCACATCCACGCGCTCCCAAAACGAGCTCTTAGACATAGTGAACAAGAATTTCGATTTGCGACCCGGCAAGATCGTCAAGTATGTATAATTTACTATTAATATGAGCCAGACGTAAGAGAAGGTAAATAAATTGAAAGTATGGTAAAAAAAAAATTATTTGTTTTACAGGGAGTTGAACCTTCGCAATCCTATTTATCAACAAACCAGCACGTACGGTCACTTCGGACGGGACGGCTTCACATGGGAGCAACCGAAAAAGCTGATTCTCGATTGATGAGAGGATGAATTTTAAATTGGTCTCGGCGTTTCTCGGTTTTAGATATTCGATAGAACATCTGTTTCTCTTTCTCTAATTCTATCTCCTTCTCTATCTTCCTCTCTCAGAGAAGTAACTGTGTTATTTCAAATTAAAAAGGAAAAAAAAGGGAATTTCGTCCGCGATGTACTTCGATCTCTGTGCCGCAGCAGCCATCACCGGAGGCTACCGATTTCTTACGCCAATACTTAGCAATAGAGGGGACTAGGTATGGGCAGTTCTCTTTCTAGTTCTTTTTTGCCGTGGAATACCGCATTATATATGTGACGACAGGCATAGTACAAATCTCGTTCATGGTCCGACAAACGGACGTGGACAATCATTTCTTCCTTAATTCTTCGGTTTCTCGCGTGGTGGAATCAATACGGCACACTGAATATATAGATAAAATGGACGCGATTACGCAAGGGAAAAAAAAAGGAGCGAACCGAGCCTATGTTATGGAGCGCATTGTAAGTTTCCAGGTTCAGGTTCTTGAAAGCTACTTTCTTAAACTGACGTGAGTTAACTCACTAACAGCAGTCTGGTAACAGTCGATCCTTTTTCGCTGATACACACTGATGCTTTTTACTTGCAAACGAGTAAGAAGAAGAGAAACTTGTAGCGGATCAAATTTTCATCTGGAAAAAAAAGAATGTATAAACAGGCGCTATATCGATACGTGTTTCCAGATTCCGGGAATTGTAACTGCAGTCTCATAGATTTTTAGCTGTATTCGTAGTCACTTGCACGTACACGAAAGTTCGATGCTCTGACTTGATCTCAATTGGTACTCATTTTTACAGATGTAAATTAACTTTAAATAAAGATAGAAGTGAGCTAATTTTTAATAAGAATGCACGAATATACAGAATACACACGCATCGCAGATTTATCGTTAATAAATTTGTATTTTATTTCACTGATGACGCTATCCCGATTACCGATTGATCTTTCGTGTACGTATCTTCACTAGGAATTATTAATCGTTGAGGAAGGCAAAGAAGTTGTGTAAATTGATGACAGTGTGTCCTTGACATATGTGTAGCAAAGAAGGAAATGACGTTTGTGCGTGATGAACGCATTCGCGTCACGTTCATGAGTTTCACGAAAGACAGTTGCAAACATAATATATCCGATCGAATGCATTATATCGATTAGATCATCGTGTTAAATATCTTAAAGAATATTTAAAAAAAAAAGAAATGTCATGAGATTAGTCTTAACAGCTTCGTTATGTGGAATTAGATTTCATTGTTTTATAGTATAAACGCGCGTAATACTCGTAACACTATTGCAGACGTGTTTTAATCGCTCCATAAAGAATACGGTCATTTCCCCCTTTGCTATTGTTTTAACTAAATAGAACAATTGCAACAGATATATTAGATGAAGGAAGCGAAAATTGAGAAATCTAATCCCGGTAGAGATCCAGCACAGACCGTGTGACGGAGCTCGAAAATGTTGTAGAATTTTTCATTGTTCTTTGGTACAGACGAATTTTGTCCGACCTCGTCGGATTTCAATGAAAAAAAAAAAAATAGAGCAAAAGTTGTAAAAAAAATTAGTCACCTTCTGGCAGAATTGACGTGTGCGACTTGCGACGTAAACCATATCGGCAATATGTAATAGTGCACAGGATCGTAAAAAAAAAGACACATAAAAATAAAACGGATTTTTTAATAAAAGCATTCTTTGTCGTTTTGTGTACCGCACCATTACATGAGCAAGCATAATCCTCTCGATCTTCCTTGGCGTTTTACGCGACACACAATTCGCACTCTTTAACGGACCAATATTGCATTTCTGTGGAAACGTTTCCCCGGACAAGTGACATGAGCTCTGTCGCACAAGATGCTGCGACTGGCTGTAATAGTTCGCGAATGTAGCGAGCAATTTTTTATATGCATTTGCACGATCGAACACTTCAGTATTCGACGACATAAACAGAGATGTGTATAACATGTAGAATATAATTCCTGTAGAATAATTCCTAAACCGAATAGCCCTCGTATTCCGCCTTGTCGCGCCGTTTTTTGTTATATTATTAGCAATACTCGTTCACAGTGTAAAGTACCATAGGTGCGCGCGTACATCCAGTAGATTTAAATAAAACGTACACACACGATACATTCGTCAGTACGCGACTTATTCCCATGTACATAGGGTTTTGCAATATTTCTTTCCTTTTGTATATCGCGAGCAACATCCTTGTTTCAAAATATCTCTCCTCCTCACGCTATTTAAGCAGGATTTTAATATATAAATGGCTATATATATATATATATATATATAGCATGAAATTTGCATTTAGGAAACCACACAATTATAAGGATAATAAAATAGCATGTATGTGTACATGAACGAACATAACTCCATTAATACCGCTTTATATTTAGAACTATATACATCAATTTATCAATTTATGAATAGTTATCATAAATCTACATTGCAAAGAGTACATGATACATAATCCATATATTTCGAATATAAAAATTATATATAAGAATATAATCATTGCTGCCTTTAATGGGAAAGCTAAATTATAATGGATTCAATGTTGGTTGTTATTATTCTACATTCAGCTATGTGACATTTTTAATACGTCGCAAATGCTTAAATCAAATTGCACTTAGTAAAAGTTGCAATCAATTACACGCTACAATTCAATCATCATACAAAGAAAAAGAAACTTTTATCAATAAAAAAAAAATGTTCGGAATCTAAGAGTAATGTTAAGTTTATTTCAATCACTCTTGTATAAGTTACGATGAAGCAATCGCGAGATACTGAACATTCATTTATACATATTGATTTTTATGTATCACATTTAAGTACAACTTTTGCGTTTTCAAAATTTTATTAAAAACTCTAAACTTTAAATATATTTTTTATTTTTACATTTACTTACAATTTTGCATTTTTAATTTAATCTCGTACAAACGTACGAGTGCATTGTTTGGAAAAATTCCAGTTATACAATTTAATATTTATACAAGGGTGACTAAAATAAATATGTTTAATGTTCCTTAACATTAAATAGATACATGTAAGGACACAACTAATTATAAGCCCAATGAAATAACCATATGTGAACTCTTCGAAAACCTAGATTGAAGATTTTTCTCATTAATATCGACAATATTCACTGCATTCTAGCTCCGACGTAGACGTTCGAAAGGACTTCTCTCTCTCTCTCTCTCTCGTACCAGACATCTCAGGAAAATCACAACAAACTGAGCAAGGCTGCTCAATTTGCTATGATTTTCTTGGGCGCATGGATACGACTGTGTCTCAGCAGCGAGCTCTTATCCGTAAAGGTCTTCTCGCACTCGACGCACTTGTACGTTCTACCGGTGTGCGTAACCAAGTGCCTGCTGAGACCTGACGCGTGGCAGAACGCCTTCGGACAGAGTTGACAATGATGCAGCTGAATATCGTTCGGATTTAATTTCTGATGCCGGCGCATGTGAACCTTAAGCGCCTCTCGCTGCGTGAAGCTCTTCTCGCAGTGCTGACACTGGAACGGTTTTTGGCCGGAGTGTGTCATCAAGTGACGGAACAAGATTTCCTTCTGCGCGAAAGCACGGTGGCAGATGTTGCAACCGAACGGTTTCTCGCCTGTAAGTACAGACAGAGAGATAACATTATTTGTGTTATACATTTCTTTAATAAGTTCTTTAATAATTTCTTTAATAGTTAAGTTTTTTTTTGTAGTTGTTTGTAATTCAGTAGCAATAATGGTAAAAATCTGTTCGAAGGAAAACTAAGATTTTTCCACAATCGTGAAGTTTAGTTAGAAAATACGAACCTGTATGTGTGCGCTCGTGTCTCACTAACGCGGATCTCGTCGGGAACCACTTTTCGCACGCCTGACACGTGAATCCCCTCTGCGTGGAATGCACCGACTGATGGCTCTTCAGCATTATTCTCCGGGTGAACGCCTTCGGGCACTTGTCGCACTTGAACACCTTCAGCTCCGGGTTGGCGTCGACTGCAATGCACATTTGTCACTTGTAATTTCTAACTGCTTACTCTTTTTCTTTTGTTGCGACGGTGTATTCATCCCTCTCACCTATCGTGTCACCCATGGGCTGTAACTTCAACGAATCTGGCTGATCGGCACTGTTGCTGGTGACCTCCATCATGTAAACGTTCTTGTGATCGACGTTCGCTCTCTGTATCTCTTCCCCCTCGTCGTCGGACTCCTGCTCCTGCTTGATACGCGTCGTCCTTATCGTGCATCGTGCCTTCGCCGTTCGCTCCTCCGCAGGTACCAGCGTGATGTTCTCCGGATCCTCCGAGATGCTCTCCTCCATCTCTGGATTTTCGGAATTCATTCCTGCGTAAAACAACGACGGTACATATGTACGAACCAATTATGTATTTGTAGAAATTTCTTCATGTTATTTCTCCAGAGCTCCGAAGCTCAAGAAAGATCTAGATTTAATTCCCAAATTTGTCACCCCACACATATAACATTAGAAATTTCGAATAGAAAAATATTTCACTCCGATAGAAATATAAAGTGCGAAACGTGAATTTAATTCCAAGTTATCTGGAGATAAATAAATAAGCAATACTGAAGAACAGAAGCTAATAACAGTTTAAATTTAGACTTTTGAAGTGGAGAGTGAAAAAAAATTACAATTGTTTGGAAACCGGCCCATCCAGGGGTACTGTGATGCAACAAAACAAACTTGTAGGAAACACACACCCAGAATATAGCCACCGACGAGTTCCTCCTCCGTCACCTCGATGGGATCACCATCCGTCTGACTTTCACCCTTGGTCGAAACTAGATCGGCTAGCAGCTGCTTAACCTGCTTGGACTTCCCCGTGCTGGACTCCTTGGACTCGTCCCTACCGCTATCCTGGCTCTCGCCCTCTTCGTCCTGCCCAGTCAACTGCTGTATCAACTTCATATGCTTTCTCAGCTTGGCGTCCGCGGCCTGGCATTTTTTCCTGAACTGATAGGACTTCTCCAACTGATACTTGCAGGGATGACATATCATATTGGGCAGGCCATCCTGCTCGAAAACCTGAAATATCGATACCAAAGTTAATCGACTTCATATTAAAACTATAATAAATAGAGCTTAATTGATACCAAAAAATATACACTTCATCATCATTTATATAAAATACAGATTTCTCACACTCTACTAGTGGCACAATAAGCGCGACGGTACAAGTAACGGCTAATAAAGAAGGCCTCTTTAAAATTACAAAAATCGTCAAGTAATCAAAACTGTATTGACCCTTCCCTAACGCAAGTCGAATATGTTTCAGATCGAAACGCGAAAATCCGACCGGCGTCGTCTGCAGTTTGCGTCATCATCGAAAACGTACGAGTTACCGCTCGAAGAGGACGGACGGACGGCCGGACGCCGGCGGTGTCTGCGAGATCACGGCGATTTCCCGAAGGAGAGCTCGATTACATCGGGACGCTACACGTCCGACGTGTACGCTTAAACATTACAGATCTCTATAAATCCGTAGGGTAAACGGAGAGCCGCCTCCCGCGCGCGCGCGCGGTTCTAGGTCCCTGTAATGAGGCGGCGGCGGCGGCGCCTTTTACGCGCGCCCGGCTATACCTGTCGCACGACGAGAGACGAAGCGGGCAGCTCGTCGATAACTCGGTAAGGCCGGTAGTTGCAAACCCTCGCGCAACACGACGACGCGCGACGTCGATCCGCCGTACGGCGTCATTCGCGCGCGCACGCGTACACACGTATGTACACACACGAGCGCGCGGGCTCGCACACCTTCTCGCTCCTGTGTACGTGTACACGCGCGTATGTGTGTGTGTACGTGCGCGCCACATCGAAGGACACGGCACGATGGTGAGGAAGGGGGAGGAGAGGAGGGGGGGGAGATAATGCGAGAGGACGCCGTGCGCGGTGCGCAGAGAGATAAACTAGATTCCTATTTTTCGATGGGCTGATTATTATCACCCGCTGCGAATCGATTCGCCGCCGACGACGATGATGAGAATTGAGACGCGAGAGGTTCGAGTTGAGCGGATTCGCGGCGCTCCTTCACCTTTTCCCTCCTCCTTCCGGGCTCAAACCCACCTCGATGTTGACGCAGGAGAGTATCCGCAGCGGCATCGGCACGGTCTCGTCGTCGTAGATCGGCACCATCTCCTCCTCCTTCGCCAGGCACAGCCGGCACAGCTCGTTCATGTGGATGATCACGTTGCTCGGGCTGTCGCCCTTTTTCCTGCTGTACGTTTTCATCGTGCGCCCTTTCCGGCCGTGGGTCGGTTGCCCGCTCTCTCTCGCCCGCGCTTCTCCCGCCTCCTGCTCCGCGAGATCTATCTGTTCGACTCCGGGCACCCTCGTCCCCCCTTTTTGTCCCACCGAATTTCTCACCGCCGCTCTCTGTCCGCCCCTACCTGTCGAGAATTACGCACGGGCGAGCGCGCGGCCGCGGTGCAGGGAACCGTCGTAAAACGCGACGGAGTTTTCCGTGGGAAGTTCGCTAATCGCTCGAACAACAGGAGCTCGGTCACTCACAACGGAATCTATAATGGCGGTCGTCCTCAATGGCGGGCGCGCATCGGCGCTCGCAGCGCCGCGCCGCGGCCCCGGTTGAGCGCGAGGAAACGCTGCGTCCGCGCGCGCGAGAGAGCGAGAGGGACGCCGCGTACGGCGCTGCCAGCGGGCGCGAGCGAGAGGGGAAGCGGCAAGCCGGGAGGCACTGGAAGCCGGAATGGCGCGCCGCGGAGCGCGGCGTGCCGGCTGCCGCGCGGTCGGGGCGAGAGACGGCCGGCGTCGAGTAGAAGAGGCCGACGAGAGGACGAGATACGAGCGCGGGCGAGAGTCGGTAAGGGCGATTGCGAGATTATTGATTTTCCATTCTTCCCAACGGCGGGAAATGCGAGCCCTGCCCGGCCTCCCTTCGGCGCGCGGCGCGGGGGAAAAATGGACTGCCCGGTAAACTGATAGCGTCCCCGCGCTCGCGCGTCCGCCCCGGCGTTCGTCGTCCGGCGTTCGTCGCCGGGATAAATCCCCGGAAGAACCGCCGTGGAAAATGAAGGAGGCGGCACTGCGCCATCGCGCGCGCCCGCCGCGCTTCACCTCCTCGGTCGCCCGGATACCACGGTCGGCGTATCGACGGATTCAGCCGGCTCCGGTGGGCTCCGTTTAATCCCGCTCTCCTCTGGCTCCTTCATTATCGAACCGAGAGAGTGATATGCCAGTTGAATTGGCGGCTTAATCGGCAATTAATTCACCCGGCAGAATCGATCGAATCCAAATTTCTAGCCGCATCGTTCGTTCTTTCCGTTAGGTATGTATATGTACGATAATCCGTTGACGATGGAAAACAATGAAACTCTCTATACGTTTAACAATCTATATATTATATCAAGGCGACACTTGAACCGAACTTCGGTTAGTTTGTAAATCATTGATTAATCCAACTGGCAGAGTTGCTTGAGATAAAATTTCTAAATATATAATTCGTTATCCTTAATCTAATTTTTTGCATAAAAAAATTTCATATAATTCTATCGATGAACAAAATAATATAGGTGCCACCGGATAAGTTTATTATCGATTAAGTTAATCGGAGTCACACCCTTAAATGTTCGGTCTCTGAATACCGAAATCGCCGATTTTTTTTTACGTCACATATATTAAATAACAAAATATTAATAATTCGATGTTAACAAGACAGTATAGATATTGCTTGATGAGTTGATCATTGATTAAAGTTAATCAAAGTTTAATCACTCTAAATCAGCTATATATAGTTGCGAGAATTAGTTTTCATCGATATCAAATTAATTACGCGGCCCTTTGCATCACCTCGTTGAGGGACACACCCTGTCCGTAATTACGCGTCGAAACTACAGGGTGTAAATTATCGCCAGCTGAGGCGTGACGCACCGATAATCAAAAGTGACGGATCCTACCTTCGATACGCTATTCTACGCTATCGCTTCGAAATCGTTATAATATTTAATGCAGGGTTAGTGTAAAAAATAAGATATGTTTCTCTTAGAGATTCGGAGACGATTACGCAAAATTTTTAATTAACGTATATGTTTCTAAGTTTGAGACGCGCCACGAAATTGCGTTCGCATACAAGAGGATGAGATTCCGAACACGCGCAGCGGCAACAATTGTTCACAGACGCGCTCTGATCTCTTTCCCGAGACGGTAATGTAGAAATCGAGTTGCTAGCAACTGAACACTGAGATTTCATTATAGCAGTTCTCTTATATAATATCGCAGGATAACGAATAATGTTGAATCACGATCAGCTGTACGATCAGCCCGATAAAAAACAAGTTACTAAGGCGGAAAGACTGAGAGGATGAATCGTGGCTCTCTAACGTCAATTAAGAATTAAAGTTACTTTACTTTGATTAAAATTCGATTAATGTAATCGATGACCAACTTATCAAATTATACTTATATACTTGAATAAAATTATTAACTTTTTTTTATTTAACATAGAAAAAAAATTCAGGGAAAGCAAAATGGTGTAGTAAAAAATTTTGCTTTAAGCATTTCGCCGAAGTTAACCAGAACTTGGTTGAAGTCGTTCTGAGAATTAATATTAGGATTATTTTATACTTAAAAATTTTAATGTTAGAATGTTACTTTGAAGATATCTTCGTTCAAATTTCGGTAAACTCAGTTGATGATCAATTTATCAAGTGTATTATTTTAATAGAGTTATTAATTTTTTTGGTTTAACATATAAAAGAAGATTAGAGGGACAACAAATTATATGATTAAAAATTGCGCTTTATATCATTCTTCGCCGGATGGATTAATCACATTAATTAAAGTTTGAGCGAAGTCGGTTATCCGCGATGATTGACGTTCCCAAACGGAAGCTGCCGGGCCTGCCGGCACTCGTTGCGAACATCTGTTCCGGGGATGCAACTTAAAATGTGTTCAGACATATAAATGGATGTTTTAACAAGCAATGCGGGGTAAAACAAGACGGCAAAATTTTATTCCTCTATTTATATTCTCAGAAGAATTCTCTCTCCTTGTTTTCCTTAAGTTTAAATAAATATTCAGTTGAGCAATTGCGAGATAAATACTTCTTTTCAAGGATATACTAAACTCACAATTATTTAACATATCTTTTAAGCGGCATTAATCTTTTATTAGCAGAATCTTAATTATTAGTCCATCAATTCTTCGAAATACCTTCTTTTGTATATCGATCAAGTTTATTTCGGAAAAACTCTCACTTGTGGTTGATATATTTTGCATTTAAATTATGAGTAAAGTCATATCTCGATAATATTTGCCTGCTGATAAACGTATAGATTATCTACCGATAGCATCGTGTAACGGAGCGAATTCTCAGCGTCTTTCAATGGCAGCGTCAATGAACGTCGGTCGTTGAACGTTGTAGGAAACCGTATCGCGTTTCGCCTAGCTCGGAACAGACCGGAACAGAGTCTGAAAACAAGGGCGGAGCACGACGCCACTTCGGGCCGATATTTATTTTCGTTTGCGTTAGCAGAGAGATACGTTACACAAAGCGTATATACGATTTACCGGCTGCGAGTGCTGGCAATTGTTCCGCGGCGTAGAATAACTCCGGTAATGCTATGCGCGCGGATATAACTGCACGGAGTTATCGAATGTGGATATTATGTGGACATACGTGGATCAATTCCCTTTATCCAATCATCCCTTAAACCGCACGAGATAAGAAATGCGCGCTATAACCATCAATATAATTATTAAAACATAGACTGTTGTAGCGTGAGAAAAATTTTTTAAAAACACGTACGCAACGGATTAAGTTATAATTTTTTCTAATTAATAATTAATATTTATTATCAATGTAACACGCATCTGTGCAGCAATTATCGGTATTAATATTTTGAAAAAGACTGCTGGTAATTAACGGATAATTCTTAATTGCGGAACCTCATCGTCGAGTTTTCAAGATTCTGCGCGTAAAATGTGTGAAAAGTTGGCGCACAGATCACGTTTTTTTACTCGCGAATGTCAAAGTGCTCATCATTTATTCGCGAGATAGAAAAAGGAGGAAAGATCAAGCTTTTTAAATTTTTTTCCCTGCGATATATGTCTTTGCTAAAAATAAACCGCGCCCGATTGCTCGATCGGCGACGTGTTTCCGTCGATCGGGCTCATATTAGATCGCCGCATAGACGAGATTTTTGGAAACGACGCGTGCGGGTGAGGCTTTCCCGCGATTGCCAGGAAATCCGCCGAATACCGCGAGCGTTCTCGAGGAGGGAGAGAAAGAGAGCATCTCGGGGGTCGAAAATAACCGCGCGGTGGAGGAAGGTGCCGAGGGGGGCCGTAAGCGAGATTTCGGCGGTTCCGGGTGAGGGAGGGGGCCCGACGACAGTTGTCTTCTGCTGCTCTCCGGTGCTTTCGCTTCTCCGAGGGTCCAGTGTGTTTCGCCACCCGAGGAGAACCCGCGTGCTCCACGTATATCAGCGCGAAGGTAGGTAGGTGCCGCGTTCTCTCGTTTCACGCGTTCCTCGCAACGTCGTCGTCTCCGTTGATTGCGTTCCGAAAGGAGGAAAACATTCCGCCGAAAACGAGAAGATATCCCACGGAAAAGCCGGTGGGAAATCGAGGAGATAAGTAGTGGAGACATTAGAACGAGGAGCGTGAGGAAAAAATATTGATAACGGAATGCGGGAGAGACGTAGGGAGAGAAAAAAAAGGCGAATAGCAACTAAACGATGTTTTAGAAATTCGAGAACGGTGTGAAAAATTGAGAAAAGCGGAGTCAGAAAATCTCGAGAGAACTTAAAAACAGCAAATGTTATATTCTTTATTGAAACAAATTATAGTGCAGGCTACGCAATTATAGTTTGGAAAGAAAGTTTAAAAAGATGATGAATCATTGTACATCGATCCTTTTTTCGTAGATCCCTCATGTGAAAGATCGATCATGCCTTTCAATTATTGGCAACGTAACTGGCTAGGCAGTTGTCATACTTAATTAGCATCTTGGCATTTAACCGCCTAATTGTCGTGAGAAACTAGGCCAAGTCGTTGTTGGTAATCAATTACAATTAACGGGGGACAGAAATTATTCTATTAATAATAATCTATTAATAATAATCTATACAATTAGATTGATTTAATTGCGGATTTATGGTGTCATATAGATGCTTTCGAAATTTTCTTTATTCTTCAATTCATCCACTCTACTTTGCACGTCGTAAATTATATCTTCGTATAATTAAAATTCACGAAATCGGGCAGCACGTGATAAATAATCGTAAATGAGGTGTAGAGCACAATAATCATTTACATCCGCGCTACAGTCATTCTCGAATATTCGCGTTACGAGTTTGTGAGTCAGCGCGGGGATGTATTGTCTAGATGAGCGGGTTCGTCCAGCCAAAAAACGAGTGACGTCCCGAGAGTACCCGTCGCGGACTTGCAGATGAGGTGGTGATTGAAATTTACACGACAACGCTCTCTCGGCGCGCCGCCCCGTCTATTTCGCATCGCGCTCTAACCACCGCGGGTGAATGCCGTCAACAACAACATCCGGAACGGCCAAAAATTAAGTCGCTCTACGCAATCGTCGCATCGTATCGTTGAAACAATCGGCCAGAAATAGGCGACACGTCTCGCGTCACGCTGACGAATAATTCCGCAATGCGCAAAAATCGTCACCCTTCCCCTCCCCCTTCCACACCTCCGCGCCCGATCGCGTCGCGCGAAATTCTTGCGAACGTATGGCTCCGCGAAAGAAAAAATTGATTAAATCGACGAGTGTTTATTGAACCAATTTTTTTTATTACGAAACCGAATTTTTTTGCAATCGATTGACTTTAGTAGGTTAAACTCAGTTCTTCCGGGGTGAAGTCTTGATTTTTTTTTTAAACCGGATATATAGCGGGATAATTAGAAAAATCTAAAGTTGTCTATTAAACTACTACTTATAATTATTTAATGTCAATTATAATGTTCATTTGCATCGCTGAGAAATTGTAGCGTTGTTCGCATTTGCTCGACGCAGCGGCCAAATATATTGACCGCTCATTGATTTCGTGCCTGCTCCGCGATGCGAGAAACGATCGAGCTGAGTCTCGCGAAATCGGTCGCGTTTTATTTTCCTCTTCTTGATGTTTTTCTGATGGTATCTGGCACGGTGTACGCGCGAAGACGTGAGTTTCAACGCGGCCGCGAGCGAACGCCGTCGTCCAAATGCCGTCGCTTGGAATAGAGCGAGTTATGTAAAGAAAATCGGCTTGTCCCGAGGATAATTCCGAGTGGAAAGCAGTTGTCAGCGGTCATTTTCATGGATTTTCACGCAGGGGAAATTTCACTTCGGGTATCCACGATCGAGCTCGCGCGCAGTTGAACTCGAGTCCTTTGACAACCCTTCCGTTTAATCTTTCAATTAAATGAATCAATTAAAAGTGAATATTAAGCTTATCTCGATGGAACCAATCTTTGCATTTCAGTGTTTATTTCAAGGCTCACGTGGCACTTTACGTTCTGTTCTTATAGCAGGAAAACATTGCGAGGAATTCGTCGACAACCTCGGCATTGAACGACAATGGCCGGTTGACACGCGCTATTGTTAGATCGTCGTCCGATTTTCATCGTCGATGTCGGTCCGATTTTTATCGCGGTCGCGCGGGCCTTAATGTAATTCAATACGACCCGCGAGAAGCCGGGCTCTCCGAAGACCTAGGCCGCGGGAGGGGGAAGAAGTAGAGATTTTGCGGACGATGTAGATATATTCGGAGGAATTTTGTAGGCAAAAATAACCGCGGTAGGCACCGGTGGCCGCCCAGCAGGGACGCGCCCGCGAGAATCCGAGGTTCTCGAGGTGTTGAACAGGTCCGTGTTTTCGTCCAGATTACCACCTCGGAGCGTAATCGACTCGGAGAGGGAGGGAGGGAGGTGCTCATTATTTAGTTTTTGACGATTTGTTTCCTTTAAATAAAATATGATGGCATAACTGTGTCCGCATGCGGTTGGAATGATAAACAGCTGGCGTTCTCAGAAGCAAGAACTCTTCTCAGCGGGATTAGATTTGATTGATGCCAATACGGGCGAACGTTTATTGCCAATAATCCTTCGGAAATGGGTTAGATGTATACGAGAAAAGGATGTCAATGGTAATTAATAGCGATAACATGTAACTGCTTGGAAAATTGATTGCCGCAGGTGTTCCCGCGGCGGGCGCGCGAACGTGTCTCAAATTATAACGTGATATTCAGCGGGAGGGAAGAAACGTGAGAACGCGGCGACTTTCGTGTTTATGCCCAGGGGATATAAATACGTTCCGAGTTATGATTAAAATGTGAAACGCGTGCGAGATCGCAAGGAAAATGCGTCAGAAATAGAGCGATGCTGCAGTTCCGCGAGGAGAGGCATTTAATGAAGCGCGATATACTCCAATCTTGTTTCTTCAAGAGAGGTTCACAGCAGATATCGAGTAGCAGGGGAGGCATAATCTTGCTTAAAAAAGCGTTCGCGGCCTCGATAAATTCGAATGGGGAGCCTTGAGGAAAGGTTTCGCGCGCCACGATGGCTCTTGAGACTATCCAAATATCTCTCGGAAAGCTGCAAAGCTCGAAAGCTTTCCGCAAAAGTCCACAGGGGATATTTACCTCCAGCGCGGCCTCTTAGCTCGCGTTTCCACTCTATGGATTTCTCTACGTCTTTTGAAATAGACCCGCGCTGAATATCTCAAACACGATGGGAGGGCGCGCGAAGACGAGATGTAAAAACCGAGACGGGATGATAATAAAGATGCTGCTCGTGACGTGTGTATTTTTTTTTTTTTTTTTTTTCGTGATACGTTAAACGCGATAAACGGAAAGCGCCGTCTGGCTATTTCGAATTAAGACTCGCACGCATGTTTGTGTCAGCGAACTCGCAACCGACTCGCCACTGCAGACTGAAGACCGATGACCAAACAGACGACTTAATCAAGAATGCACGATTTCAGAAACTGTCGACGATAAACGAGAGGTGTCGTCTAATTGTAAGCGAAAAATTTAGCGAAGAACAAAATGTCGAAAAAACTGCACGCGTTTATTTCCGTCCGTCGATCCGTAGAGGAGGAGGAAAAGAGAGCAATATATTTTACGCTCTTTCAAATGCGGGGGTGATTATAGATCACGCACGAAAAAAACGTTGATTATTTTTTCTCCTCCACCCGAATTGAACCCGCGCGATGTCTTTCAACGCGTGCGTCCCTGTGCGCGGATTTCTTGGCACGAAACCGAGAATTTAATGCCATGCCGCAACTTTCTAGCGAGCCATAGAATCTCCCGGCTAGGCGCCGATCGTGCATCCCGGTGGAACCGGGATAGCCAAACACAATCGTCGTCGAACGATCGTCGAACGATCTCTCATCGGGGAACGATAGCTCGTGACCCACTTACCCGAAATTGCGTTCGCTCTTTGGCCACGCACGATTTACGATCGAATTGGAGTACGCACGTGACTCATTTGTGCCGAGGCAGGAATGCACACCGTTCGTCACGTCACGTGAATTCGTCGCCGCCGCATCGTGACAGATTAATGATCGTAATTCTTCCCGGCGATTTATTGAATAATTTTATTTGTGCCCGCTTAGCGTCATTTTGACAGTCGAGAGAACCCCTAACGTTATAGTTCTGCTTGTTCCCCATTTTCTTTATATATGTATGTATCTTTCATGCATCATGTCGATTCTGATACTAATTAATTTGACAGTCTATCTACATTTTCCACGAGATGGTAATAAAACGTAAAATAAAAATGGGAAAGTTGATGTGTATGTGCGTATGTCTCTTGTAATTTTTTATAATTAAAATTCTTAATAATTAAAATAATAACACAAGTAAGAAATTATAATATATAATAAATTGTTACAATAATTTTTCTTATCTTTTTTAACAAGCTTATAATAAATCATCTTGCATTTCTCGCTCGCAACTTTTGTATTTCTCTTATATCGATGGTAAAATGTGCCAACGTAAACAAACGTGATCCGCGATCGCTCATGAAAGAAACGCCGCGGCAGATGGTCGTTGCACGACGTAAAACGAAAAATTGCCTTCATTATTTACCGCCGCGCTGGATTTTCATTCGTAAGCCAGATATTTGCTTTATAAGATCATCCGTATAGGATATATCCGATGAATTCTGGCAGAATTCACGTATATGTACAAATAGAGCGGCGGTGGCAGATTAATGGGGCGCCTGCCATTTGCGGCACGTTTGAGAAAATAACGTTATATGTATAGATAATACCGTTCTATATGACTTACGACAAACGAGGGATAACATATGTGCTCGCTGCATGGAACATCGTCAAATCGTAATAAGACAGTTGTATTAATATTATGTATAATTAAGGCGTGTTTTCGTATAGTACTCAATAATTATAGAATTTTGAAAATAAAATATGCGTGAAGCTGATGAATCGTTTAAAGTGTCGAATTGTGCGAGCAATTGCCTTGTAATTCTGATGTTGCAGCAATTCGAGAGTGGATCTATTAAGGCATCAACATGGCCACCCAGAAGGCGAAATTTGTGAACAAACAGTTCAATTCTCCTATCAATCTGTATTCGCCACAGGCGATACAGGAGACTCTGGATAGGCAGACTCAGGTTCTGGCTAACGGCGCAGTCGGGTAAGTTGTGCTACAAGTAAAAGAGATACATTAGAATAAGTAAAATATTAAGATTGTCTTGTGATTTAAAAAAATTTACATTTACAAATGAATGTAATAGCAATAACGATAAACAATAATCGTCGGTTTTTAATATATCAAATGAACACTCATTCATCCTTTCAAATATCTTATTGGAACAATTTAGTTTCACGAGGAAAATCATCGCGCGTTACTTCTGTTTACTTCAGCCTAAATAACATCCCTTGACCCAGTCCGAATCGGATTCTTCTGATCTCCGCGTCTGTGGATCGTCGATCGACTCGGATGACTCACGAAGCGCCAAAACCGCGCGGCGAATCCGAACCAGTCGACCCGGCGAGACCACCTTGCGTCAATCATCGAGCGTGTCAGCCCGCGTGTCGTGCGTGCGATCGTCCGCTGTATCGGCCGATGTCAGTCCGGTCGCGCGACGACGCCGTCGGCCGCATGAATCAGCCCGTCGGCGTCGATGCCGTTCGCGACGTTAGTTTATTTTCGGCGGGCCGAATCACACCGGCCGGTTCGAAATAAACGGCCTGCACGAAACCGACCGAAGCCCGCTTGCACCGCCGCGTCTTCGTACTTGACTTAGTTTCGCGCTTGATGGACCGCGGACGCGCGCCGGTTCGCTCGCCGTTCCGTTCCTCTTCGCCGTCGTCGTCGTCGTCGTTCTGCCTGTCCTTACCGCTTCGGGACTTCCTCCTGATCGAGATGATCGCGAAGAGGTGACGATCCAATCGCCGGTTTTCGGTTCTTAAGATTTCCGTTCTGAATCCTTCCTCTGTCGCAAGTGAACGGTTCCTCTCTCGCTTTTTGTTCGCGATTTTGTTTGGCTTGATAGTTTCTTATACACCTCGCGATTCTACACGATTCTTGTCAATTGTCGACGAACGGAGTACACATTTTCACCTTGCGCTCTCTTATTATTCAATGCTAATGCTCGACTATAATAATGAACAATAGGTAGTGTGAATAAAAAAATGAAGTAAATGTTTTTAAGATATCGCGTCTTCTTAGCCAATTTACATAAAATTATAATGCACGCTCCATATTATTTATCATACAAAAACAAGTACTCCAAACATAGGCAATCGACGTTCCACATTTGTCGTAAAATTTTCTGTGGGGAGTAAAAAAAACAGTTACTTTAATTTATGTAAAACATTATGATATTTCTGCAGCATTCGAAATATTACTAGCCGAGCTAACTAAACGTGGAAATCTCTCTTTCCAGGATCGACTTCAGCCATTTGGCCAAGCCAGCGAACTTGCAGAACAGCGCGGTTCTACGTATGCTCGAAGAGGAAGAAGCGAGGCAGCGCGGTGGTCAACCCGGTAAGAAATGCCTCTTCAAAAATTGTTCCTAGAAGACGTAACTTAGGATTGGGAAGATCGTAACATTCCTTTGACGTTTACAGTCTTAACGATTAGACTGACGAGTAGTAGACGAATTTATAGGTCTGTTTGCTCGGACAAGCGTTTGCGTTTAATTCACGCGCTGAAGTCTATTCGTCGCGGCGATGAATCACCAGGTGCAAATATCATCGGTCATCAATCACCTGACCTAGGGCGGCATCAGCTCCCTGAATTAATGCCGCTATCGTTTTTTTTGGCAACACGTTTCCAATTTTGCATGACACAGCCGTCACCTCTCTGGCCGCGGCTCAAAGACGCGAGTTTGCCAGATTAGCAGCCCGTTTTCGCAAAGCACACCAAGTGCCCTCAGTCCGTTGAACACCGAGCGCTGTGCTCGAGAAAGGCCCCCTTTGTGGAGCACGTCGCATTGATTCACCCTCAAAGGGTGTCCTTAATTAGAGCGTGGAATCATTGTGTCCGAATGTCAAGCAGGCGCTTTCGACGCTAAATTCGCCGGGAACAGATGCTTACTATTAAAACGAGAGTCCGCTTATATTCAATCATATCAATAAAATTGCATAAATATTAATTTATGTTTTTACATTATTTGAAGAGAAATATGGAATCTCATTATTTCAAAATTATTTGTACGACATTTATCGATTATCAATTCGATTATTAAAACGTCTGCAGCGATGATACGCATAGAGATCTCCCCGGGAAATTTTTCGCGACCCTCCTCAAGGACGCGGACCGCCCCCTCCTCCTCCGATCGGGCACAATGTCAAGCCCCACTCCTTGGCCGGTCACCAGAAAGGCTCTAAAATCGGTAGCCAGCTAGTTTCCGCGATAATGAAAGGTACAGGTGACTCCGCCATAGCGGTTAGTAGTTGGCGGGTATCCGTTTTGGCAGAGTGACGTTCCTCACCGCCGCGGCTGGTGGTACCAGCGAGCTCGCTGGGAATCGGTACGTGAACGCATTGGATATCCAGCGCCGCGGGTTTATTGGCTGTGCCAGAAAATATGCGTTCGCGCGATAAACTTTGCGCGATTAACGTCGCGCGATCCCCGTATAGGGTGTCGCAATATTCGGTCGCTCGTCGCGACGCGCTCGCCCGCGGTGCACGCGATCGATATACATGTATAATGCGAGAGCCGTATGACGTGACACGGTTAAATTAAAATTGCACGTCATTAGGTACTATTTTGACGAAATGATAAAATCGCGGAAAGAGCCGGCACCCCGGCCGCCGCGATCCGTCGTGGCGAGTAAGGTCGGATCAAGTGCGTCGTTGACGAGAATTGATGACAGTGGTGGTCCGATGACGGTGAGAAATCGCGATTAAATGAATACACGCGACACCGGTGATTGACGACGTTGAAGTGACACGACAGATAAATGAGACATTTTTTTTTATCGGAATTTTAGAAAGGGAGATTTGATAATACATCAATTTCTTCTTAAATTTATATTAATCTGCGGGAGAGATCGGTATTCAAAAACGCTTTCACCCTCCCGCAAATCGTTTTAAGTTTCGTCTCTGAAGAACGTAATATTTCTGTACGTTACTCATTTTAAGCGAATTGGTCTAATTCTAATTGGTTAACGCACAGATATATCGCAGTCGTATAAACGAAGAAACTTCATAGAACCATATAGTCGCGCCAAACGGGCTTTGTCTCTACGAGAAACTCTATTATTATCCTAGGTCTCAAACGAGTAGCTTGGCCACCGCCTCCAGAGGATCAAGACTTCGACTACGTGGAGCAAGCTCCCGTCCAAGCGAAGGTAATATGACGGATAATTGGATACGTGTGTACATATTTTCGCGCTAAAGACTCAGACTTTCGTCGTCCCATCATTACGCTGCTCCTGATAAGGCAAAAGGCAGCGGAAAACAAAATTTATAACTTTTCGCTTTTGAACAGGAAAAACGCAAATTAATTCATTGAAAGTAAAATAATAATAAAATGCCAATTAAAAGAAGTAAAAGCTAATTACATCATCAAGTTAAATCATATTTTAATACAAAAATATTGCACGCAGAAATACAAAAATATCAAATTCTAACACACATGAAGGCCTGACTGCCTTTTCTCTCATCGTCAGCGTAACAACATTTATCATTTCATGTGGAGGAGATGAGGATATAATTGACGAATGTAATTAAGCAAGCGATTAGATCGTGACAATTTCGAGAACCTCCGAAAGGACACGGACTTTTTTTGAATGTCTACGTGTTGTATGCATTCTTTTTTTTGTAATATTATTTATTTCCATTTAGTGCGATATGTAGCTTCTCCTGCATCTTGCCATGCGTGTAGAGTGAGTGCAACGATGTTCGTTACGTGTTTCTTTTATGTATTGTTCACGTTCGTTCCTCTCTGTGTATGCGTATATCAGCCCTGTTTCGCTCGGAGCAGAGATGGAAAAGAGAACGAGTACCGCGATATACTGCACGAGTTGCTAAATTAAGCCAGCAAAGCCTGGCTGGCGTAATAATCGATGAAATTGAAGCCGATTCGCATTTCCAAACAATTTTTAAAAATCGTTACTAAATCTCGCGGATAGTTAAGCCGCAAATAAAAATATCGAAATTGAAATATCGCGTCGTCTTTATAGCGACCGAAAGAAGAAAATAAAATTTTGTGATTGTCGTTCCATCTCTGATTCGCAACGAGTTCGGTGCACGCAGTGAATATCGTGATATTCGTTTTAGAAAAGTTTACGATACGAAATGTCTTGATTCAATATCACCGTGAGCAAAACCGATCGCGCGAATCCGCCCACCATTGCGGTCGTCGAGGCAGGTCTACCGATGAATTATTTGCAGGAAGCGAAAAAGGAAAATGACAGACCGTTGTCAAATTGGTGCACGTCCCTTTTGATAAAACCGACGGTGCTTGGCTCGAGCGAATCGCGGCCATATTACAAAGAATTATTAATCTGAATAATCGAGAATAATAAATTAATCCGAGTATAATCAGGAAGAGGAGAATCTCGTACCTCCTCATTCTCGTCAAAGTATTTCATACATTAGTTCTATTTGTATGGAAATAAAATTTTTCCCTAAATATTTTTTATGTAATAATATAAGTCTAGAGTCTCAGTAATTCGAGTGATAATTAATCATTCTTCGATGAATTATCACTCTCTTATTGTATCGGTCGTTTATTTTATAAATTCATTTTCTAAATCTCCTTTCCTCTCTATTAATCAAGTTCTATAGAATTATCAGCTTCTTATTGTCCAAATAGTGTTAATAACATTAATGAGGAACGTCCAGTATACGGAAAAAGAGACGATTTATATTTAAACAAATAATATGGACTTATGAGAATTATAGATATCACGTCGTTTCTCGCAAACCTTCGCATATCATCCCTTTCCATTTTGAAACGACAAACATCAGTCCGTGCGTTCGCTCGAGCCTACAAAATTAATTATTTTCCCCCCGGCAAAAGACCCGTGGGTACGGTGAATTCGGCTCGTACCAGAGCAGCCCCTCGTCGGGTCCATCACCCCAACCGCCCTCGACGGTCGCACGGTCGTCGACACAGAGCGCCGTCCCGTCGTCCCCGTCGCCGGTCAGTCCTGGCGGCACGCTCCTGCGACAGCCTTCGCACTTCCAACAGCAACAGACGAACCCCAGGGGCTGGGCGCCCGTGACACCCCCGGCTACCTCGCCGCTCTCCCAGCAGCATCCCCCGTTTCCGAGCCTGCAACAGCAGCAGCAGCAGCAGCCGCAGTATCAGCCGCAGCAGCAGCAACAGCAGCAGCAGACCCAGTCTTGGCAGGTAAGTGATGCTCGCATGAAACGTGGCTGACGGTCGTCCTCCGCAATTTTGGAAGAAGAGCCGATGATTCTCGGTAAGAAACGACGACACGTGGCAAATTGCGCTTGCGATCTTGGATATAAGAAGCATCATCGCCGTCGTTGTTTATGCGAGAGATATATTTATTAGTTACGCATGTGCTCTTCCTCTCGCTCTCACGTACTCGCAGAGCCTCGCACGATGTGTCGTGAGACGTTTTTAGCCAAGATACGCGGAGGATAAGCGGAAGATTTGCAGGATAGCAACTGCGGTACGGTCGTAGATGTCTTCTCGCGTGGGTGTTGACGCACTCGCGATAGTGGGGCGAGTCTTATCGCTGCTCTTTCTTTCAACAGCACCCCCAGGATTCATACGACCGGGCACCGCAGAGGCAGCAGCAGACACCATCCGGCTATTATACAACCGCCCCTGTGGCGTACGAGGCACCACCCTCCACAATCGTCCTCCGTCCTGAGCCGCCTATCTCGCAGGTGAGAGTTTCGTAGCGGGAGCTTGAAGAACTTTACTCTTGCCACCAAATAATTAGTAATAACAATTTATATTAATAAATAATTATATTATGCAAATCTAAACAATGACAAATTATATTAACAAATATATTAATTATATAATATATTTGTTAATATAATTTGTCATTTAAATTTGTATAATATAATTACTTATTAATATAAATTGTTATTATAAATAAATATATATATACACGGAGAGAATTTTTTTTTAAATTTACCCTGCAAATCATGTTAATTATGGGACAATATAGTATTTAGGTAAATTTTACTGTGCACTACAATAAATTTTACTGCGAAATCTTATTGTAGTGCACAGTAAAATTTGCCTAAATACTATATTGTCCCATAATTAACATGATTTGCAGGGTAAATTTAAAAAAAATTCTCTCCGTGTACATATATATATATATATGTATATATATATATTTGTTAAGCTTCTTTGCCTCGCTTTATAAAAATATTTCACGCACATTTTTGGTGGTCTGAATCATTTTTTGCGTGCTGAACATTGATTGTGCGTGAAATCCGAAACCGATATTGGAGTCAGGCCTACGTATGAACATTGTATTACATCACGGGAGGATTCGGCAGCGAACATGTTAATAAACATATTTGTACGTTCGATATTATGTTACACCTCCCGCGCAACTTTAATCCGGCTAAAAATAAGCGCGGTAAAATATTATGCGCGCTTCCGAAACGTCGCGCGTTTAATACCGCGGGTTGTGTCACGATACAATATTTTTGCGAGAGTATCCGCGCGCGAGCTCTCTAGCGAGAGCTGTCTTTGGCAGCATATCAGCCGTTAAATATACGTCCTCGTTATTCCGGTAGCATCGATTACATACTCCCTTGTCCGAAATTTATTTCTAAGAATATCTCGCTGTTTTCTGAATATCTAGCTGTTTTCTAATCCGACCCTCGACTTCGAAAGAATATTTCCTGCGTCACTAACAAGAATACCTGTTTTTTTTTATTTTTTAGATATTTTCGCGACTTCTGGCGTTCGCAAAGTCGAGTCTTGAAAATACGCGAGAGCCATTTGCTCAAATATAATTTGATAAAAATCTAAAAGAATTATAAGCTTAAATCACTTGCACAAAAAAAAAGAAATAAAATAAAATAGAATATTGTAATATTATCGATGAATTAAATAGTTTTCAACAGAGAGAAGCAAATTAAAAGTATTATCTCCCACAGTAAAATGTGATGATATTATAAAAGTTTATTCGACATTTCTCGTCGCCGTTTCCAGTCTCCCTGATCGATTCTTGCTCCGCAGTCACCAGCGCCGGTGTACCAGGCCCAACCCGCGGCAACGAAAGCTCCGGCGACAGGCAATATGCGAGGGGACCTGAAGTGGCCGCCGGCGCCCATCAAGGCCCAGGTCGCGGCGGAGAACCAGGCCAGGATGGAACTCGCGAAGGGCCCGGCTTTCAGGCCCCGTCGAGTGCACAAGGACTATAGCGGTTTCTTCGCGCAACACGCCCTGAACAGCACCTACCCGGGCTACCGAGCGCCGCCTGGCACCCAGTACTTCACCCCGGCTTATCATCATTAGCGAATATTCCGTTTTTTTTTTTTTTTTTTTTTCGAGCGACGTATTCGAACGACGCATTCAGGCATCGCCCTGAGTTTCTCTCATTGACCGGGACGCTCAGGACGCTGTTTGCGGATCCGCCGGGATCCGCGAGGAGCCCAGAGAAACGCATGAGAGACGAATTTCTTCGCGTGAATGGAATCGAAGGAGGCTGTAAAAAAAAATTCGTATCGATTCGGCAGAATTTCGTCTTGCAACGCGATTTCTATTCTTCATTTTTCTAGAGGGAGACCACGAATCTGTGTCACGAATTATCGTGCAGTAGCTCTTTCAGAATGTGGTCCAGGCAACTGACGAGAAATTCACGTCATGCGCTTCTCAGGTATCTAGAGAGACTTCCGATCTGGATTTCGAGCTTCAACGAACCTGTGTATACAGAGACTGAACGGTTACCTTTCATCTTTGCAGGGTAGCGTAACTTAATAACAATTACCGAAAATCCCGGTTTATTTTACAGGCATTCATTCGGTTTATTATTCGAACATCATCGTTCAAAGATTCCCACACTTGCAAACGTCACGTTCTCCTCTTTTTTAGTCTGCAAGAAAGTAGATCTCTAGGTACATTTACACTTGTAATGAAACAGTAGGCTAGAAATATAAAATTTATTTTATTTCCTTAAAAATTTCATCTTATTTCTTCGCGCTTTTCCTCTATCTATAGGGATTCTTGCTTGTATGAGAACATCCCCAGTTTGGGAATTTCTGATCTAGGAATCTGAACTCAAAATGTTGTGATAGAATTAACGCTGCGAACAGATTTACAGGTTTACAAGACTAACACTTGCCATACGAATCACAAGAGTGGCGGATCACAAGCAATCGCTTGAGAGAGAATAATGGCGGCAGATTGTACTCTTTACTCTGCGAAGGCCACGACAACATGGAAAAATAACGTCGAATACAAACAAAAAAATCCGCGAAATGAAACGATCGAGTAATTACGGAATACATAATAATGTATTCGGGGAGAGAGTGATGTATCGAATCACTGAGAGGCGACGAATTTCGATAATGCGACTTGGCGACGGTCTGCCCGTTACAACTAACCGACGAATAATTTTTAATAATGTAACATATCGATGTGAATAAATAAATAAATATTACAATTTATGCTAAACGTTTTGCCCCGGTAATCATTACAAACTATACCTAAGAATGTAACATATGTGCGCATATCTAAATTTCTAATAATGAAATTTGGCATACAAGAGGTAGATAATGATCTTTATTTTTTTTTCTCCGATTTTTGCTTTCCAGCTTTGCTTTCCAGCTTTGCTTTCCAGCTTGTTTAATACAAGACACGTATTTAAGTAACAATTTACAAAATATTTCTTATACCAAGTTTCGCGAGAGACCGTGGCTCGAAAGTGCAATTTTCGAGCTGTCTAAATTACTCCCATCAAAAAAAAAGTATGTCTCAATAAAAACCTAAAAATATTTTATTTATTATTTAAAACAAAAATTGTGTTTTCAGCGATGCTATTTTACCGCTAATGTCATGTGTCATGTGAAATTACTACGCTAGTTTGATACATACATACACATATACAATGTGTATATATGTATAATCATTTCAATAATACATCTTAAATCCTTACGCATATGGCAAGCCCAAAAATATACTCTCAAATTAACAACGTGTTTAAAATATTGTGAATACGCTTCTTAAAAAGTTATGGAATTTGTCTGCTTTGTCGCGTGAAAAGGTTCCTATTAAACTAGAACAGCTTTCTCTGAGTATCATCCTCTCTCTTGTACACTTATAAATTAACACCACGCATTTCTCTCCTCACGATCAACCAATGACTTTCTAGCACGTGTCATATATTAGTATTGCTTCGTAATAAATATCGATAGATTTCCATATAAACAACAATATAATCTACAATTAATCTATGTATTTACTGCATAAAAATTAATGAATTTCGTTTGCAAACTTTTATGATTATGAATATTAATTGAAGATTATATGATTATATCTATCAATTGACATTATACTAATTGATATCTATCAATCAACATAATATCAATATTACATTGATTGACGATTATCATTCAATATATGTATCAATTAACATCAATATTATTATCAAATTGATATAATAAAAACGAGTATCGTAATCGGTTTAATGTGAATCAGTAGTGCGAGATTTTTATTTTTAAAAAGCCCAAAATTCAGGTGTACTTTTCGCGTTTGCTTCAAAATTCATTCACAAAGTATCATCACAATAGAAGACTATTCAATTTCTATATTTCCTTTTCGATTCATTGTTGATTTATACATTATATTATGTAATCAATTATTGCTCGTTTAGGCAGTAATCGTATCAGGTAACAATATGAACTCATTTCTTGATGATTTGGTGGACTAGAAAAGTCGAAGTCGGAGATTTACGCGCGGATCTGTTGTGCGCGATGTTAACGTAATTTGTAAGGAACTTGCTAATTCTTTTTCCCCGCCGATATTCTGTGTCTTCGTTAAATTTATGACAGATTCGTATGCAAATAAAACTATCGTACATTACAAGCCATGAGAAGGGGCGCGTTTGCGCTTCTCACACAAGCGAGAATCCTTGATTGTGTTGGACAGCTTGGAGCAATTTGTATTTCAATCTCTCGCGAGTCTGATAACGCGGCAGATCGAGCAGGTTGAAGCACGTATGGGCAGCCGGTAGAAAACGTTCGTCGGTCATCGGCTGTATCGTTATCTGAAATAGAGGTAGCAAATGGCAAACATTAAACTTTCGTTTCGACAAAGATACGACACGCGATCTACCGCGTGTTCTAATCTAACTCCGACATGTTGTCGCTTTCTCTCACTTTTATAGCCTTCATGCCCTGTATGGGTATTCTGTCGCTGCCCGTTAAGAAAAGTAGAAATTTCTTCTTCTCCTCCAACGGCAATTCGTGAAAGACCTGCCAGAAAAGCACGATGGTGGGATCGTTTTTGCTGTAGCCGTTCTTGTAACTGGCGTTCCTCTCCAACTCCTCCCAATCGTAGTTCTCGTTGCCGATCAGAAGTGACATCAGTTCGTGGCTACGAAACAGCTCCAGCACCCTACCGCCGCACACGTCGTGAAAACCTTTGTGAAACGCCTTGAACTGCACTTCCACCGATTTGTTCAATATATAATCCACGTAAAGGTCGACGTATTGTTGCCTGCAACAATACGACAGCGTGTGTTGCCTTCCTTTTGTTCTTCTTCTATTATCATCGTCATCATCGGGTATGCATGCAACGCTTTTACGTACTTATTTCTTAACGTTACAGGAACTTTATCACCGCCGGGTATCAATTGAAAGCTCTTCAGCTCGCCGAACACTTCCCTGCTTATCTCGAAGTTCAAGTTGAACACTTCCTCGAAGTCCGATTCGTTGTATTCGAGAATACTTTCTAAACTTCTGCAATGCGTATGTACGTTGATAATTTTTTTTTTAATATCAATGTATAGATTTTAGAAACGAGTGAAATACCTAGCTATTGTCGGTGACATTCCCTTGATATCATTCCCCCCGACCGATTCTCCCAAAAGTTTCTTGTATAAAACCAACGGAAATGGTAAGTTGATAATTACGAAGTTATATATCGCCAAGCCACAAAGAAGGCCGATTAGAAAATACATAATTTCCTCCTCTAACGTGTCCGAGCTAAACCAGATTGTCCTCGTCTCCTCGTATTCTTTAAACATACCGTACTTAAAATCGAGAATCTCTGCGAAGAGAAGCATGAAGAATTCTTTTCTCACGCCACCTACGTCTTCAGCCTCTTCGTCGCGGAATTTAACCTGGAAAAATTTAAATATCGCGCTAATGTAACTACATGATTTCTTACAAGATCTGGTATAAGATTTCTAAAATTTAATTTTCAAAAGATGTATTTAATTATTTGGATTTAAAAAGCGTTAGAAGAGCTTTTATAGGAGCTTGATTACTTACTCTAAGTGGTCTCTTTAAGTCCTTAGGATCGTACTTAAACAGCTGATCCAGAGTGTCGTTGACTATGTTATTCCGTGACACGTGTAATACTACAAATTGATTGTACTGGTCGAAGTTTAGGCTAGGTGTACCGAACACCAAATCTCTCACAACCCGCGACGCCGCTTCATTCATCGCGGTTCGCATCTAACATAAATATAGCTTATTAAACAACGCGCACGATTACTTTTAAATAGCTCATATTCTCCTTTATACCTGTATAGATTGATCGGTTTCGAGCAATATGGTTTTCGCCTCGGCATTGAACAGGAAAGGATAATTGCAGAAGTATATTTTACGGTACTGAAAAATCATAAAGATTATAATACTATATGTATATGTGCAGCAATAAGCAGCAATGCGTCACTTAATTCACCGTGCGTGAAAAATTTAGCGGCTCACTGAAAATCTAGGGTCACACTTACAAAAGACCGATCGTCTTCTGTCATCCATTTCAAATATTCACGGGGAATGTCTAAATATTCCAATAATTCCGGCAAGTAGAAGGTTTCATAGGGCACTCTTATATGGGCCATGATATTTAATTTATACAATAGCCCTAACATTTCTAAAGCACATGATAGGCTTTCAGTCCACACGATGGCCTGTGAAATACGTTCTCTAAAATTACCATATAAGAGAAAGATCTCTCTACATCTCCTTTTAAGAATTATTTTTGAGAAAAATTTCCCATTTAAAATATTTTATTTTACAATATTTTTTGCACACACCGATTATTTTACAGCGCGGAAGCAAAGTTTAGTTACAGAACAATTTTGATCGCTGAATCTATAACGCGAATATAGAACTACCCAAAAAAATTTCGAAATTTTCTGCCAAATCACTTGTCGGTTGCGTGAAGAATATTTCTGCGCGTAACTTACCTTGTCCGCCGTCGACTGTTTCACAAAGTGCATCACCACAGACTTGTACAGTCTCACGAGTCTGTCGAAGTAGTACGGCGGGGTTTTCATCCACCATGTGCCTACGACTTTGGAAGCTTCAGCCTTCAGTCTTAACACTGCCTTACAGAACGGCGTTTGCAGAGAGCTGTAGTTGGACAGATTCGCGAAGCGATGATATAGCGGTAGCGTTAAGTACACTCTTAAAGACTCCACATCGGGCGGAGATTCGACAAACGACGGTATCAGGCTATCAGTTACGCATGTGAAAATCTGGAATGAAAAACGTGACTTTAATATCTGGACAACGATCAAGATTTATTATATTATGTGAATATTCGTGTACGTACCAATTCTTGAATCGTGTTGTTGTCCAATTCTGCGATAATTCCAAACAATTTGATCGCGTAATCGAGATTGACCCCGTGATGCTTGCTCGAACATCCATAATGCTCGTCATTACTGAGTAAAAAGGACGCATTTATACACGCTTGACTTTTGAACACAGTTTCTATATACCTGAAAAATACCATGAATATTTGAAGTCTGTGCAATAATCGAAGCTACGGTAAATTGAGATTTCTTAGGTCAAGATCTATCGAGGCGTTACGTGAAAGAGCAATCGAGAAACGAAGAGAAAAACACGAGCAAATACGTCCAATTGAACTTTGTATAATGTAGTATATTTTTCACTCACGTCATCAATTCATGATTAACCGGCGAACCTGGTGGAATCTTCTGACAGTCGGCCAGCCTTTCCTCTGTCACTGTAAGAATTTGGCAAGTCGACCTTGACATTCTACTGTCATCTGGTTCTACATTATCCTGTAGATATATTTAAGTAAAAATAATTTTTCGTATAATTTTTCACCGCAGAAACGGTGCAAAATTAAATATCCCGTTCTCCTACTGTTTTTTTTTTGTCTTTCTTCGAAGAAAAGAAACCAATTAATCTCAACTTATAAAATTGGTAGATAAATTAATAAAAAACCGAGAGTGCGAGTGTAACTAATACAAGGAAACACACACTTTTTTCTGACTGATTGTAGCAAAGCAATGATCGCCTCCGCTAAAGATATGCTTAACAACACAATCGATTTGGGGACTATAGTGCAGATCGATTATCATCGACGATCCGCTCGGTGAAGACCATGGCCCTAAAACGACTTGTGGCGTTGTAGCACTCCGCGAAGAACGATTGCCCAATTGTCCAGCGCCTCCCAAACCCCATGCGTAAACTTTCCCTCTAGACGGCACTAAGGCCAACGTGTGCCTCTTACCGCAAGATATCTGCAGAATAAAGCGTATTGACATTACTATTTCGTAATTACATAAAATGTAATTTTACACGGTGTGACGTGTAATTATCAAAAATATTAAAATGATTCTGAAGGCTCTAAGATAACAAATCAAAAATTAAATAAAGTATAGCCCATAAAAGTCAACGCAGTTGTTTTTAAAGCGTAAACAAATCTTTATTGAAATAAAAAGAAGAATTGCATATTATCATATATTTGCGATTTCTCTTTTTATTTCAATAAAGATTTTTTTGCGCTTTAACAACTGCATTGGCTCTTATGGGGCGTAATTTATTTCATTTTTGATTTGTTATATTAGAATAATAGAATTGAGTAAAAAAATCTTTATTGAAATAAAAAGAAGAATCGCATATTATTATATATTTGCGATTCCTCTTTTTATTTCAATCAAGATTTTTTTGCGCTTTAACAAATGCGCTGGCTCTAATGGGCCATACTTTATTTCATTTGTGATCAAAAATATTATTTTTATAAATCGTAACTGACTTGTGTCACCGTGCTACCCATCAGCTCCATAATCTGTCGCGGCAAGATCTCATTTGTATTATTGCCATGTCCTAATTGACCGTACATTCCAGCACCACATGTAAACACTCCCCCGTCCTGAAATAACCGGCAGCAGAAAATTATTTCGGGACTCTCTAATAATCTTCAGAGTACCGTCCGACGTGTTAATCAAAATACCAGGGTCAAGAACGCTGAAAACTCCTCCCCGCAGGCCGCGTAGCACACTTTCGAGTTTCTCAGAGTGCGCAACTGGCACGGTAAACCCCTCTGCTGTGTGTCATTCAGTCCCAATTGTCCGAAGGTGTTTCTCCCCCACGCGAATACGGCTCCTGCGAGAAAAACGAATGTAGCGAATGTGTGCTCGCGTGAAGTCGAACGGCACCCCGCGACCAACGGCGGACCACTTACCCGATTTCGATATGACTACAGTGTGATAACCGCCGCACGCGATAAATGCAATTGGCACAGCAGCTAAGCTGGAAATCCTTTTCGGCTTTATTTCGGTATTCGTGTGGCTCCCTAATCCTAATTGTCCCTCTCTGTTACTACCCCAGGCGTACAGCTCTCCGTCATTCGTCAGAGCGATCGAATGCTCCACACCACATGCGATTTGCACTATTACATTTGTGCCCAATACTTTTATCATGCGTGGTATACGCTCTGTACAATCGACGCTATTTAATCCTGTGGGATTAGTAAATATATGAATTATTATACTTACAATTATTCAGCACCTCAATATGTAGAAATAAAAAAAAAGCTGTACGTTACCTAGTTGACCTTTCATATTAGAACCCCAACTGAAAAGTTGTCCCCACTCATTCACAGCCAGAGTATGACAATTGCCACACGATATTTTTCTAAATACAAATGCGTCTAGGCCAGGTATCAATTCTATATAAAAGGAATCAATATATTTTAGCAAAGTTGACAAAGGACAAAGGATATTATAATCCACATGGAAAGAACGCTTTTGCTGGATACAGGATTTGAAAATAATTTTGTTGGAAGGTCAAACTGATTGCTAAAATATCAAAGCGTTTTTGCAGCGATGCTCGACATTTTTGAGTTCCTACCAAAAAATTATTTTGAGAGGCCAACAAAATTATTTTCAGATCTACATCCAGCAAAATTTTTAGACCTTTCAGCAAAATCGTTCTTTCTATGCAGGGGTCATTGCACATTGTAATAACTGAAAATTCTTATTGTACTCACGTAACCTTTTCCTCGCCTTCTCGTGGCCGAGCTGACCGTAGTCGTTGTTACCGCAAGAGTACACTTGGCCATCCTTCGTTACAATTACAGTATAATTTTCTCCGCATGCAACTGAAATTTTTGATCTTCGTTAGAAACATTCTCTCTCGCCACGGGAATCTTGGCAGGCTTTGCATTATCGAGATCTTTTGGATGCCTTACTGTCAATGACATTGTGCGCTTCTGCAAAATCCACTTCCCGCGGTATGAAGATGTTCTCATCCTCGATACCGCCCAAGCCCAGCTCCCCGTGAATAGTGCTGCCCCAACAGAACATTATAATGTCGCAGTACTTGAACCGTTTCACTGCTAGAGCACTCTCATCCGTCGAACACTTTCTCGATCTGCTAGCCTGCACATACAAAAATATACAAATTTGAATAGGAAAAATAATGTATACTATTAAATTTGTAAAAAGTAGTCATGTACAATACAGCTGGTATTTTATGCTTAACAAAACATTAGATTGATTCAGTGACATTTGAATGCACTTATTGTTGATAATATACAATGATAAGAATAAGACTACATTTAAATCAAAATATAATTCATTTACGTCGCTTTCAACACAGATAAGTATTATACATGCCAGCAATGTATAAGTTCAAAATATTCCAAAAACACTCGGCTTCAAAAATGAACAATTCACTCCTCGCAAACTCGTTGTTGTCCTTCATATTACGAATTATTAACACAAATACAATTCATACACCCGTTCCATGTGCAATAACCGGTTCATCAATTGTTTAACGACTTGGCAATTAACTTTTTGCCATTTATCACTTCGATTTCCGCGACGAATTAATTTCCAACGCTTGTGCACTCTCCAGACGTCACGTGACGTCTCGTCGCCTTATCTCTCCTACGGACTTTGATAAACAAATCGTGCTTCCCCGGAAAAAAAAGGCATCAAACGAGACGATTAACTCTCTCCCTCCGCCCGTGCGCTACTCCCACGACCGTGCGGCGTGACTCTACGGCAGACGGGTCCGTCGGGTCCACGTGTGAAGCCGAGCATACCTAAAAAGAGAATATTTGGGCGTCTCGCGCCGCAGGCTGAATAAGAATTCGGCGGCCGTCGGTGTGACTAACCATATTTATATTTTTCGCGCGCGCGCGCCCGCACGCGTGTGAGCATCAGGCGCTCCGCGGTTAGCACATGTGTGTTATTTACGCGAGAGATGCGTGCTTCCCCAAAAATAATGCCTCCTCCGCGGCGACGGATCTCTCTCTCTCTCTCTCGTTCTTTCTCTCTCTTTCGGAAAGAATGCTTCGGGGGACCGTCGAGTTGGAATACGTTGGAACTGGCGACAGAGCGGGCCACGAGGACCGCAACCGTCGGTCTCCGTCTCGCGATACTTGGCCGCGCGTGCCGCAACTCTCTCTCTCTCCCCTCGTCGGGCCGTGCCCCGTGGAAGCCCCTTCGTGTCTCGCTCCGCGTGCCGCCGCTCAGGTGGTGATGTCAAAGCTGTCCACGAAGGGCAAGAAGAGGAGAGGCCTGGTGGAATAAACGTGGCGCGCGCGGCCCGAGAGAGGTTAACCCGGGCACTGAGACGCCTCGCGAGCGAGTAGGTAGTACTAGCGGCGAATATTCTCCGACCCTACCCCCCTCGGCCGCTCCGCCAGCTCTCTCATCGCTCCAAGACAACGACGAGAGGGGAAGGAACATAAAGACCGAAATGTTAGACCGATGAAGGACGACGAAGAGGGAGGGAGAGAGGCAGGGAAGGACGAGACGGACGATCTCCACCTCCTGCGGATCGATCTTCTCGAAATGACGTTAAACGCGAAACGGAAACGGAACTTTGAACGAGTGTTCGATTGTTCGCGATCGTTCGATGATCTCGCCCCGTCGGCGGCCGACGCGGATGATTCTAGAACGCGGAATGACGTCGCGTAAAAATACGAAGCGGCGGGGCCGACGGCCGCGCCGTTTCTCTCTCTCGCCTTCCTCGGCGTTCTCCCCTTTCGTTTCCTCTTTTTTTTCTCTCTTTCTTTGCGGAACGACGACTTCGGCCCCCGAAACGAGCCGGGGGAGGAGATCTCGTTAATTCGCGTCTTCGTCACGTGCTAACGACAGCGCGCTTCAGGGAGCTCACAATGCTCACATTCGGAAACGTCCCAGTCGGCCCTGAACTTTACGGCGAGCGCGGTCGATCGTGCCTGCTGCGTTTACGTCGTTTACCTGCGTGTATGGCCGATGTTTTAGGTTATCATGTCGTTGCAGATGCGATGCGGTGGTGCACACAACACAGAGCTCGCCGTGATCGAGCGGTCAACGGAGATCGAGCGAGAACGGAGAGCGACGGAACGAGGACGCGGATATGTCATATCACTCGTGTTTACCTCCTCAACGCGCAGCCCGCGGCAGCCAGCCTCGGGGGGCCCGCTAGCATTATTATATTATCTATTCAAGCGCGAGCTGCAAACACCACGTGCAACGTCGTGGAGCAACGTCGTCGGAAGCGGCGAAAACAATAGCGTACGACACGTCACGGCCGCGCAGTGTGACAATCGCGCGTCCCGCTCTTAAACCGAACTGGCGTGACCAGCACGTAATCCGCCGCGCGGGCCGCCGCGGCACGACTCCAATGACTAGTGCGCGTGCATCCGCGTGCATATAGGTATGTATGTATGCTATGTATGCCAGCCCTCCGCACCTGGCCCGCAAACTGCTGACAACGAAAAAAAAAAAAAAAAAAACCGGCACAGGAATGCGAGGTGGACGGAAATGCCTGGATTACACCGATGAGAGTAAAAGGCCGCCTCTAAAGTTTTCATGAACAATGAAACTAGGCTTCGCGG